AGACGAGACGTGCAAGTATTCAAACTTAGTCTTATTAATTGATACATTAGGTATCATTTGCACCTTTTTACAAAGGTGTGTTTGAACTAAGAATCTGATGTTTCCTTCAGGCTGTAGATCTGCTGAATATCAAATGGTACCATAGCTTCATATTTTTATTTCTCTTCTTTTTACTGCCTAAACTTTAACTCCTTTTCCTATACCAACTGTATGCGTGTGTGTGTGTGCGTGTATGTTAGACTAGTTTAAGTTTTTATGTAGTATGTTAGACTAGTTTAAGTGTTTATGTAGTTAATAAAGTCTTACTTGTATCACACTTGACATTGTTCATTGTTTGCTCATAACTGGAGTCCCTTAATCGTGCAGATTTATGCTACAGGCTCTGTGTAGAATTGTACAGTAAGAAAGTTATTTCCCTTAACCAGGAAATTAACGTTCTTAGAATTGACAGACAGTTGACCCTGAGAGGTCAAGTAAATACTTACAGCGGATCTAAATATTTATAATTAATTATAACTAGTTATGATTAATTATTCATATTTCCCCCTTGAGCTGATTCACTACAATATATTACTCTCTGGATGTCTGATGTTCTCTTTGCTTTCTGTATTATTGTTTGATGTTATCCTCACATTTCTGATGTTTATTGTAAAGTGTCCTTGAGCTCTGGAAAAGCACTATATGAATAAAACTCATTATTATTATTTATTATTATTATTTCATTTTATTGGCCTGGTATCTGTCTGGCTTGTTTTGTTTCCTATGCTGGGCTGTTTTGTCACTTGAGGCTTTATCACTTATCGCATTCCCGTTCAAGCTGTGAGTTTCTTTTAATTATGATCCATGTAACACTGCTTGTTGTTTCTTGACTGCATCATTCTGGTGCACTGTTTGGATAGCTTTGACTAATGTTAGCTCTGGATCCAGTTATAAGCATTCTGACAGTCTCCTGTCTCTGATACCTACAACTATCCTGTCTCAGATTAATTCTTCCTTCAATGCCCCGAAATTGCAGTGTTCCGCCAGGTTGTGTACTGCTGTTATGAAAGTCTCTACATTTGCACCATCATTTTGGCATCGCCAATTAAACTGAGCCCGTTCAAATATGACGTTGTGTTTGCCGATAAAGTGCTGTCTGAACGCTTCAATGACACAGTCATATTTCTTTCTGTCTGACTCACCCAACAGAAATAGCGCGAAGATATCGTCTGCTTAGTCTCCCATGGCATATAACAAGGAGTTTATCTGGTATTCCTTGGGCTTTGTAATCAATCCAGATTCTAGACGAAAGCGCTCGAACAGTCTGATCCATCTTGGATAATCCGCTGACTCAGAGAAGTCGAACGGCTCTGGATGAGATATCTGCACTGCTGCAACAGCCATCTTTCGGCCTGTTTTCTGCATTGGTTCTCTGTAACCTATTCTTAAGGTTCACTTCTGACACCATGTATAATGTACTCTATATTAACTCTCAATAAACACGCAGCACACATTCATCTCTCTAACTCACATGGCGAACTCCCCTTTATTTCCGCCTCCCCCTATGTCATCACTCCCCCGTGCTCTAGCCCTAATGGGTAATGAAGTCCCTACAATTACAGAGTGATAACAGAAATCATAAATTCGTGGGTTTGTTTCATCTTCATTTACTGCGCGCCTCTGATCTGCATGTGCTGCTCCGGCACGTGCTTTAACAAGTCTTCCACAGAGAGCCGCACGCTCATGGAATTTAAAAATTGATCAGTTATTTCAATTTACTGGCTGACTGACTCGTTCGTTTATCGATCGCTTTATTGAATGATTACTTAAAATTAATATAGTTATAAGAGTAAATATTATTTCGGGGGGATTTGACATGCCTAAATGAAGAGAACATGAAGAATGACTGGCTGCACAAACTGTATTTCAGTGGTAAGAAATTAATGTACTGATATCCTACTTTAAGTCAAGTAATTGTTTATTCACTTTTTAAATATCTGTGAATAAATGACATTTTATAAACCATAAATTGTGTTGAAGTCATTTTTATTTGGAGCTGAATTTTTTTTAAATCTGATTAACCCGTAATCTTACATATTAATGGACAAATGTAATCTTATTTAATCTTGCATATGATGGTTGATGGGGTCAGATTATTTTTGTTAATTAAACAATAGATAAAAACAAGATATGGTTTTTATAATACTGATTAGGCATCTAGATCATTTCCATGCCGCTTATACTATACTGGGTCACAAATGTGCCTAATCTCTCTGGTCATTCCCTGTCCTGCTTTTCACGAATTATAATAACGTTATACAAACCAAAAACTAACATTCTATTTCCATTAAGAAAACTTTCCTGGCTAACCAAAAACAAACCTTAACAAAATAACGTTCTGGGAGCCAAAAACTAACGTTCTGGTAATGTTATTCTAATGTTAGAGGAACGTTAAAATAATGTTCTTACAAACCAAAGACTAACATTCTATTTCCATTAAGAAAACTTTCCTGGCTAACCAAAAACAAACCTTAACAAAATAAAGTTCTGTGAGCCAAAAACCAACGTTCTGGTAATGTTATACTAATGTTAGGGGAACGTTAGAATGATGTTCTACAAACCAAAAACTAACGTTCTATTTCTGTTTAGAAAACTTTCCTGGCTAACCAAAAACAAACCATAAAAATAACGTTCTGGGAACCAACGTTTGGGGCGTTGTGATTTATTGTGCTGCATTACATCATTTTTCTCACCATGTCCAGCTGTTGTTAGATTTGCAGCTATATTTTGTTTTTTTTTCGCCATAGCACCACCTGAGCTTTCTAATGGCATTTCTACCAGTGATGCTTGATTCAACTTCCCCTGTCTACCTGCGCAGATATCAACAGTGCAACTGAGTTGTAGGTTGCCAGGTTGAGGTCACAAATTGGTTCAAAATTGTATGATCTGTCTATTGTGTGAGTAGGATGCGTTTCACACAAGATCTGGCAACTGGACAACCTTGGAATAATATATTGATGTGATTATTCATATAACGAGGTAGTGCCATACAAATTACGGGAGTTTCCCGGGAGAAATAACAAAACGGGAGTGGGGCGGGAGATGGGTGTGAAATATGGGAGACTCCCGGGAAAATGGGAGTGTTGACAGGTATGGTTCAGAGCCATCTTTATAGTTTGGTTTCTCTGTATACCTGCATTTGCCTCTCTTGTTATTTACACTACATGCATGAATCGGTGGGCGGAGCTAAACAGGCAGATTAAACGTTGATCATCTTCTGTGAAGGCGGGGTTTAGCCACACTATTAGGCTACATCATAGAGTGGCATATTCCACAAGCTGTCGTTTTGGCAGACTGGCTTCAATATAAGCTGTTTTTAGACTAACAAGAAAGTTTTGAGTTCTGAAACTTACAGGATGATTTTATAGTACAATGACCTTTTACATGTCAAAAGATCAAGGGAATTTTGGTTTCTTAGTTCATGACCCCTTTAAAGCATCTTACTTTATTATTAGGAGATGTAGAGTGACAATTGATATTTCTGTGCATTTTATTTAAGTCTATACTGTTATAAAGCTTTTTGATTTAAATCATGAATTATCAGAATTTCCTTAAGTATGGAGTTTGGATAATTTAACTTTTTATTCATCATGTTTAGATGCTCCAGGCTCTACTAAAGTTTTGATGCTTACTGATGGACTCATTGATTCTGTGGACAACATGGTCCTCTCTGAATTATCCAACATGAGTGTTCTGGCACTCAGCAACAACGCCATTTCCAGCATCATGGAAAATGCCTTTCAGAACCTCTCTTTTCTAACGACACTATCTCTGGACCACAACCGCATCTCCAGCCAATCCCTGGACAGCTCTACGTTCTCCTGGCTCCACAGACTGGAGACTCTCCAGCTTGGTAACAACAATCTGAATGACATTGACAGCTCCTGGTTCCAAAGCTCTTTAAAAACGCTTCAACTAGAGGGGAACCTCCTCACCGGCTTGAACTCCACCACCTTTGCCCATGCTGACCTGAGGAACCTGGAAACATTGGACTTGTCCAACAACCTCATTGTGTACTTAGGACGTGATAGCTTCAGAGGGCTTCCTCATCTCTGCAGGCTTGATCTGTCCCGCAATCATCTACGCAGTGGTCCGGATGCGTTCTCCTATCTGTCTTGGCTCTCAGTGCTGAACCTTGATTTGAACCGTTGGAGCTGTACGTGTGAGTTGAGAGAGCTGGCCTCATTTCTCAAAAGTTACATTCAGGCTCCTGAAAAAGTCTTGTACAATGGGCAGAGGATGGTGTGTGTGAATGCAGATAACGCAGCTGTGCAGGCTGTGCTGGAGTTGACTGATGCTAACTGTGCCCCACCAAACAGGAATTTAACAGTGGAGGTTGTGGCTAAAAGTAATAACACTTTTCAGCAATATATTAGAAATGTTGCTATTGCCATTGTATTTTCATTTTTGGGTGAGTATCTAATGCAAATGTTTGATAACAAAACATTCTGGCTATTTTCATTATAAGGCTGAGGGCATGACTATATAGTCTTAAAGGAATAGTTCACCCAAAAATGTAAATTTGCTAAAAAGTTACTTAGCCTCAGGCCACCCAATATGTACATGAGTTTCTTACTTCATTGGAACAGATTTGGAGAAGTGTAGCAATACATCACTTGCTCAGCAATGGATTCTCTGCAGTGAATGTCCAAACATCTGATAAAAACATCACAATACTCCACAAGTAGTCCCAAGGCCGGTGTTGTGCCAAATTTCGACCTCCTGCCAAATGATTATCCCTGTCGTCCAAGTCGCTACCTGATTGCCTAATCCTAACCCCAACCTTAATCCTAACCCCTCTCCCACACCTACTCCTAAACCTACCAATTCTTAGCGGGTAATAATATGGTGGGGGGGGTAAGAATTGGGCACAATACCGGGCCTCGGGCTTTAAGGCGGGGCCTCCATAACTGTAACATTCCCTATACTTCAGCTCACCAATCAAAAAAGGCAGCAAAATACTAGATTCATTGTTCATTGGATGTAGTTGAATTGTCACTGACCTGCAATTAAACCAGTTAATGTTGCCATTTCAAAGTGGGTCCCACCTTTTGAATGTTTGCAGTAAGGAACACATCCTTCCGGTGCTGTGAAGCAAAAGGCTAAATAGGCACGCAAAGAAGTATAGCTCCTAATGCAGTTGTGTGCGTTGTTGTCGTCATCTGTTTTGGAGTGATTGCAATGTATTCTAAACATAAACTTGTTCTGTCGATCAGCGTCATTTCTGGACCGATCATTCACCGGTTTATTACGAGTTTAGAAGTGCACGAGCGCCATTGACGCGCCCAGACACGACACGTCTTGAGCTGACTAGCAAAATAGCTAGAAAAAAGTAAAAGCTCATCAAGCCTGCATTTATTTGATCAAAAATACAGAAAAAAAACAGTAATATTGTATTCAGCATGGATGTGTTAAATTCATAAAAAGTGAGAGTAAAGACTTGTTTAAAGAGGATTTCTATTTTTAAACAGCTTTTTAATCAAAAAATCTTGAAAAATATTATAAAATAAATATTAAGCAGCACAACTGTTTCTAACATTGATAATAAATCAGTATATTAGAATGATTTCTGAATGATCATGCGACACTGAAGACTGGAGTAATGCCTGATGAAAATTCAGCTTTGCATCACAGAAGTAGATTATATTTTAAAGTGTAGTAAAAAGAAAACCATTTTTTAATTTTAAGAATATTTCACGATTGTCACACTCTTGTTGAAGGAAGGCGCACAAAGATGAAGGTAATCCAAGGCAGGCAAGTGGATGACCACAGTGGCGACGACCATGGCAGATTAGATGGAGGAAGGAGACAGGAGGAGCCAGGGCGGATCAGATGGAAGGAGGAGCCATGGTGGAGGAATGGCTGATGACTCCAGGGGGCCGACCGACAGTGGCGGAGCAGGTGGGAGAGGAGCCCAGGGGTGAGAGATCATGCGACACTGAAGACTGGAGTAATGCCTGATGAAAATTCAGCTTTGCATCACAGAAGTAGATTATATTTTAAAGTGTAGTAAAAAGAAAACCATTTTTTAATTTTAAGAATATTTCACGATTGTCACACTCTTGTTGAAGGAAGGCGCACAAAGATGAAGGTAATCCAAGGCAGGCAAGTGGATGACCACAGTGGCGACGACCATGGCAGATTAGATGGAGGAAGGAGACAGGAGGAGCCAGGGCGGATCAGATGGAAGGAGGAGCCATGGTGGAGGAATGGCTGATGACTCCAGGGGGCCGACCGACAGTGGCGGAGCAGGTGGGAGAGGAGCCCAGGGGTGAGACGGAGAACCGACGAGCCAGAGCGATGGGGAGGATCCGGAGGGCCAAGGCGGAGCAGATGGCTGAGGTGACCGAGGCATAGGCAGGGGGTCCGGAAGGAGCCGGAGAGACAGAGGTCCAAGGTGGTGCTGGAGGGAGGGAGGAGCCCAACGGAGCCGGTGGGATGGATCGACGAGGTGCAGCCGGAGGAGTGGAGTCCTGAGGCGATGACGGGTCGATGACTGACCAAGGCAGAGCCAGAGGGACGAGGGAGCCCGGCGGAGCTGGTGGACTGACGGGCCATGGTGGAGACGAGGGAGCTAGGAGCCATGGTGGAGCCACTGGGTCGCAGGACCGAGGTTGAGTCTGGGCCTCGGAGGCTGAAGGCGGAGTCGAGGGATCCTCCAGACTCAACGCTAATGGAGGTGGAGATAGGAGTGAGGACTGATGAAGAGGTGGTGGGAGAGGGAGGCTGGCTGGGAGTTTTGAGCAGTCTGGGGGTTCAGGGATGGTGTGTGCTGCCCACACACACTAGATTGCCACTCCCAGCACTGGGAGCGCCAGAGATAGGGGAACGACCTCCATGGTCGGGACAGGACAGACAGACAGTTTGGGCACGACATCCGTAGTCGTGAAGGGGCAGACAGAATGTTCAGGGCAGATAGACAGTTCAGGGCAGATAGACAGTTCAGGCACGACCTCCATGGTCGTGATGGGGCAGACAGACTGTTCAGGGCTGATAGACAGTTCAGGGCAGACAAACAGTTCGGGCATGACCTCCATGGTCGTGATGGGGCAGACAGACAGTTCAAAAACGGCCTCCTTGGCCATAACAGGACAGACAGAGATTTCAGATGATAACGGAAGACTGGTTAGTTCTGAATAACAGTCAATTAAATACCCTGAGTCCTTCCTCAGCTCACCCTCAGCGGTGGTACAGTGGGCGGTGCTTTCTCCGTGCCCTCACTCTCCACTGTTACATCCACCGTCGCATGCGTTGTTGCCGGCTCTCGCACCTGGTCAGATGATCCATGAGGCTCCGGGGCGATCCTCAGCTCAGTCGCCCTCTCTGGTGATGGCTCATTGGTCATGGTGGGCTTTGGCTCTCCGTGTGTGGTGGGCTCTAGTAAACACTCTGCGCAGCGGGGTGACGGTTGACCAACGGTGAACGAGGATCCGTTGCTCACCAGCACCCACTCCACAAATGCGGCGAAGCTCCCTCGAGGACCTTCCCCAGACAACTGCACTCTGCACGCAGTGTTGAGGCTCGCGATGTAGAACGAGCAGAGCGCGCCGTTTGGGTAGCTGGTTCTGTGGGAAATGTCCAGGAATAGTCCGGTGTGGTCCTCAAAGGGAAAAGTAGGAAGTTGGGGTGATCCATAACAAAAAAGAAGACTTTAAAAAACGAAAAATAAAGACAGGGTAACACAAGCAGCATACACAACTAATAACCAGTAGCTAACTGAACTGAAAGGGGAACTTAAGTAGGGTGAGATAACGAGGGACAGACAGGTGAGGATGATAACTAATCAAACACAGGTGAACTGAATGAACTAATCAAAGGACGACAGAAACTAAATGAAAACACAAAAGAAGTCCATGACTGACAATGATATTACTGTTTTTTTCTGTATTTTTAATCAAATAAATGCAGGCTTGATGAGCATAAGAGACTTATTTCAAAAATATTAAAAAATAGTAGCTAATGTGTCCAAACTTTTGACCGGTACTGTATAAATAAAAATATACAAAATTTAAAATGAAATGTTGTATAAATAAAAAGGTTAGGAATCATATTTGTTTCAAGTGCTTTTTCTTGGGGGTGGGGGGCCTCCAACATTAATTTTGTCTAGGGCTTCCAAATGTCTGGAACCGGCCCTGAGCAATCCACATGACTCCAGTCCATCAATTAGTGTCTTGTTAAGTGAAAAGCTGCGTGTGTCTGTAAGAAACAAATCCACCATTAAGGCGTTTTAACTTTAAACGGTCACATCTGGCCAAAACATATGTTCATAATCCATTATAACGTAGCCAAAATTTCTCCTTTCTCTGTTCCGATGAAGAAATAAACTAATCTACGTCTTATGGCCAGAGGGTTTGTAAATTTTCAGCAAACTTTTTTTGAGTGAACTATTCCTTAGTTTATTCAAAAATAAAGCATGCAAATAAGTCAAGGTGATTAAAATAATTAAATTTTTTTAAAGAACGTTTTGTTATAACATTATTTCTTAGAAGAAAATATAATATTTTAAAGTGCATATTGCAGGTTAGAGACCCAGTGAGCCAATGTATAGAAAAATAATGTAGGAACTAGATTTTGTTTAAAATACACTTATAAATATGCTACTTGAGGCTTCTGGAGTCGTTTAACGGACCACAGCCATACAGTTATGAGCCTGCTATGCGGCCAAGAGTGCAGAGACAGGCCAGGATTATTCTAATAATAATTTAAGTTTATCTGTGCCATTGATCCTGGTGACCACGAAGGCCCTGTCCCACATGGTACATTCATGTGCACTTGCGGACTTACAATGGCCACAGCATGCACGTGTCCGTTAAGTCCACGAGACCGTAGGGTGTCCTATTCATCATTTTAGCTTTCAGAAGGGTGCTCGCAAGCGCCCCCTTTGCGGCTGCTATGTGCCCTTGATGCGCACTTCTGCCGAGCCTGCACTGGGCTGAGCTCCACAGCAGACTTATACCCGACAGTCAAAGCAGCATTATGTCACAAAAGTGTGGACTCAGAAGAGGACCGTGAGGGTTTAGGGTGCGATTTTGGACAGGGCCGAACTCAACTATGAATAACTTTACTAAGGTCTTTGTGTCTGCGCAAGGAGAGAGAATCGTTATTCGTTCCTTTCACTTCACAATAATAATAATAATAATAATAAGTCAATACAGAGAGAACATACAAACTCCACACAGATATTTTTTATTCACAATAAGCTACACAATACGTAGAAAACTGAATCTATAGGACTAATAGTGGATTGCGCTTTGGTTCCTATTTTAGAGTGACTTTAAAAAGTAATTGTAGCCTAGTTACAGCAAAAATGTATTTTAGGTTTTATTATATATGTATGTTTAATGATTTATTCTTATTTAATGTTATACACAGTAATTTCATTATTTCACTTCACAATAATTAAAAAATGTC